GTTTATGCTTAGGAAACAAGGGAAAGTATGATCCAACAAGAGTAGAGAGCTTTAGTGGAGACTACTCAAGTATGAAGTAAGTAAATCCAACTCAAGCTAAAGTTTAAGAAATTCTTAAGTAGAGATTTATTTATGCATGTATATATGATGCTTATTGAGAAATTGAGTAGAGATGTATGTCTATTTGTTGAGGAACTGAGTTGAGAAGAGTATTTATGTTATGTTTGTTGGATATTTCCTTTATGGGAAGTGTTGATGTGTGATGAGTTTGAGATGAAGTTGGAGGAGATTGAGTAGATATTTTGGGGGTGTTCTTCTATGATAGGAACCATGTCCATAGAAGGGAGTTTCTTCCCATTCTGGATGGTTAAAAAGAGAAGGAGAGTGGTAGTTAGAGAAGAGTTTTTGTATGCACATGAGTTGCTTGATGAAATGCCTAAGTGAAATCTGCCCTGTCACAGTTGTGACTTTCTAAGTGAATTTTTGGCATCTTAAGGATTGAATTGGGCTGAGACCAAGACATAGAAGTTGTAGCCCTATCTCTAAGCTTTAAAACGAGACAAAAACCGTAGCAATCCGAGGTGTATAACGTAAGTTATACCCTTTTTAGTGTGACCTGCGCAAGATGACTGTTTTGATGCAATATTGCATTTGGCATTTCAAAAGTGCATTAATGAGTATGAACCATCCATATGCATTAATTGTGCATTGAGAAGTAGCTTGAGAAAGAATAGAGAGTGTTGAGTATGAGCTACATTACGAATACTAGCTTAAGAGTAGAGAATTTTGAGTATAAGCTATACTATGAGTAATAGTTTGAGTGAGAAAGAGTAGAGAATGTTGAGAATAACAACTCTTAAGAGTAAAGAGAATGAGAACACTCTGATAGTAAAGAGAAAGAGAGAGTGAGCACTAGTGAATAAAAGAGCAAAAAGTGCTAAGGAAGAGAATAGAGTAAGTTGTGCGATGGGGAACCTGTGAGTGACGAGTAGAGTCACAAGAGTGGGTGCTTTGTGATCCCCAGCCGTGCCTCCGGTAAGATGAGGCCGTGACCGTCACGCAGAGTGGAACATGAGGCTCCAGCCGTTCCTCCGGTAAGAAGGGGTCGTGACATTTGAGAGATAGAGAGAAAGCATGTACACTCACATGACCAAAGGTTCCGAATCCATGCATGACTAAATCCGATCGGTAGCAAAATGAGCGAAAGTCATGTAGAGTGGTAGCGCCCAGCCGTGCCTCCGGTCAGATGAGGTCGTGACATTCCAAAGAGTAAGAATGAGAAAGAAAAGAAATAGAAAGAACACAGATGAGAAAAGCTAAGAGTTAAGCTATATTATGAGTACTAGCTCGAGTATAAGTACTAGCTTGAGGAAGAGATGAGCAAACATGAGAAAGAATAAGAGATAGATAAGAGCATAGAGTAGGTTATGCGATGGGGAACCTGTGAGTAATAGGTAGAGTATTCCCGCATGTACGCCGCATTGAGAGAGCGGCATGAGTATGAGAAAGAGAAGTGGTGTAGCCCATGAAAGTGCATGCGGATGAGGGCTATACCCGAGAGTACCCGAGAGAGAGATTGTACACTCACATGGCCAAAGGTTCCGAATCCATGCATAACCAAGTCTGATCGGCTAGAATGAGGAGAAGTCACGTAGAGCGGGAGCGAGTCCTGGCCGTGCCTTCGGTAAGAGGAGGCCGTGACTAATAAAGAGAGTCGGTAGAAAAGAGTTATGAGAAAGAGAAACAGAAATGAGAATGAGATAATAGAAAGAATTAAAGAATGAGAAAGCTTGAGAAAGAATGAGATAGAAAGAGAGAGAGAGTACGGAAGTTTGAGCTAATAAGAATAGAGAGTAGAAGAAAGAAACATACAGTTCTTTTGTATTAATTGCATGTAGAGCTTATACAGGCGAGTACCATGATTTTCCTTCATGGTGAGTATGATGAGAATAAGAGAGAACCATGATTTTCCTTCATGGTGAGTATGATGAGAATAAGAGAGAACCATGATTTTCCTTCATGGTGAGTATGATGAGAATAAGAGAGAACCATGATTGTCCTTCATGGTGAGTAAGAATAAGAGAAAAAGAATAGAGAATAAGAAGAGAGAACCATGATTGCCATTTGTGTTTTTCTAGGTTATGGTGATGGTAAAAAAGGATACCGCTGCTTTGATCCAATTGCACAAAAATTGTATGTATCTCATCATGTTGTGTTTCTTGAGTACATACCTTTCTTTTCTATTTCTAATAGCACTCATAATCTAACTAAGTCTGATCTCATTAATATTGTTCCCTTTTCTGATGAAGAAGATAATTCCTCCCCTAAGGTTCCACATGCAATAGATACAACCCCACCTCATCTTTCCCACTGTCATGTTCTAATTACCTCTTTCCTCTTCATTATTCTAGCAGGGTTCACCCTAGTTGTCTTGTAGATATTGGTACTTTGGTCCTTGATGCTCCCTCTCTCCCTACGACCACTCAAGCACCTTTTGAGGCTATGGCTCCTTCCCGATATCCTTAACGCACTCGTAAGTCTACTCAATTGCTTTATTTTTCTTACTCTTGTTATTCAGGTTCTTTTGTTTCTTTTGTAACCTCTATTCACAATCTTTCTGAGCCTTTATCTTATAATGAAGCAGTTCTAGATCCACTTTGGTAGCAAGCTATGGTTGAGGAACTTTCTGCTTTGCATAAGACAGACACTTAGGATTTGTTGTCTTTACCCCCTAATAACCAGGCAATTGGTTCTCATTATGTTTATAAAATAAAAACTAAGTTTGATGGGTCAATTGAGTGTTATAAAGCAAGACTGGTAGCTAAGGGATTTTCTCAACAATATGGTATGGATTATGAGGAGACTTTTGCTCTAGCTGCAAAAATGACTATTGTATGTACTCTTATTGTAGTTGCATCTATTTGTCAGTGGCATATATCTCAAATGGATGCTAAAAATGCCTTCTTGAATGGAAATCTTCATGAAGAAGTCTACATCGTACCTCTTCCTAGTATGTCTCATAGTCTTGGAGAAGTTTGCAAACTCAAGAAAGCTTTATATGGTTAAAACAAGCACCTCGATCCTTGTTTGAAAAATTCTCTACTGTGATTTCTTCTCTTGGTTTTTATTCTAGTAATCATGATTCAACTCTTTTTTATAAAGAGTACCCCTGCTAGTCATATTCTACTTTCTTTATATGTTGATGACATGATTATTACTGGTGATGATGTTGATGGAGTTGCATTGTTGAAATCATATTTGGCTAGTCAGTTGGAAATGAAGGACTTGGGCTCTTTACACTATTTTTTGGGTATTGAAGTAGTCTTCTCTCCAAAAGGTTATCTTCTTTCTCAATCCAAGTATACAATTGACATCTTGGAGCATACTTGTCTTACAGATACGAAGATTGTTGATACTCCTCTTTAGCTTAATGTTCGATATTCTCCCTTTGATGGTGTCCCTTTGCAAGATCCCACTTTGTATTGCACTATTGTTGGTAGTTTGGTGTATCTCACTATTACTCGTCCAGATATTGCATATGCTGTTCACATAGTCAGCCATTTTGTAACCTCCCCTACTACTATTCATTAGGTAGTTGTTCTTCATATATTGCGGTATCTCTGGGGTACTATTTTTAAAAGTCTTTTACTTCCATCTACATCATCTTTGGAGTTATGTGCATACTTTGATGTTGATTGGGCTAGTGATCCTATTGATCGAAAATTTATCACTGGCTACTGTATTTTTTTGGGTGATTCTCTTATTTCTTGGAAGAGCAAAAAATAGCCGGTCATTTATAGATCCTCCACAGAAGCTGAATATCGTGTTATGGCATCTACTACCACTGAGATAGTTTGGTTACGTTGGTTACTTGCCGATATGGGTGTTTCTCTTTCTCATCCTACTCTTGTGTACTATGATAACAAGAGTACTATTCAAATTGCTCACAACTAAGTTTTCCATGAGCGAACCAAGCACATTGTGATTGATTATCACCTCACTCATCATCATCTTCAGCATGGCACTATTACATTGCCTTTTGTTTCTTCTTCTATACAGATTGTAGACTTGTTTTCTAAGTTACACTCTATCTCTCGCTTTTGTTTCTTGGTTGACAAACTCTCGATGCTTCTTCTTGCCACATTGTGAGTTTGAGGGGGGATGTTAGGATTTATATGTACTTTTTATTTATTCTTAAGGGTAGTTTTGTACTTTTGCTTAGTTGTGTATATATTCAACTTTACTCTCTTTTTCTTTGGTTAATCTTAATATATGGAACCCTAGTTTTCTTTTCTTAATCTTCTTTAAATCTTTGAGTATAGTATGTTAATAATTACCATTACGAGTCATAATGGGCAGTTTATGAAAGTTCGAAAGCTAATACTTTGCAAATACATTTTTCAGGTCATCAGCAATAAGAGCAAAGACTTCTACTTTTGTAAGCGCTTGAACGCTTCTGGTTGAGATAGGGAGGTTGGAGGAGGAGGAACATACCAAGCCTAGATAGGATATTAGATTTTTTTGCACACCCTACTTCTTGCAAGCCCTTGCATAGACTTCATAAGGGAATCTACATACTTCTCGTTGGTGCAAAATCCCGCATCAACATATATAATTAAGTGTTATACTTTAGTTTGATGTCATATAATAATGGCTGTTAAATGTAGCTTGCTAGCTAGTATCGCTTGGATATACATCTAAGTTCTGTCTAACTAGTAACCTCTTCTAGGCAAATTATTTGATTATTCTATAATTTCTATTATTTTAAGAGGATACTAATCAGCTTGTATGATTAGAAATTCAAAATCTTCATGTATTTCTAGTGCAAAAGAAACGATGTATAGTTTTCTTTGTTTTTCTAACAAACGTAGAGTTAAACTCGAGGAAATTGCTTAAAACTAAAGCAACATTAAACATACATACACACACTATATATATAAAAATTTTTGTTCTTCTTGTTGCCTTCACGCTTTCAAGGTACATGATCACAACACCTTACCAATTTATTGTTCTTCTGCAGTGATCTCAGGCTCTCCTTGCTGCTGATCAGATGAAACAAGAGAGAGATTGTCTGAAACAAGTTCCTGATTGTGCTTTATTAATATTTTTCTCAAGTCATAGGCCATAAGAACAAAGGCGTCGACATTCGTAACCGCCTGAAGGGTTCTGGTTGAGATGGGGAGGTTAGATGGTGAAGCGTCATCTCTAGCCCAAGCAACAAGTTCTTCTCCGAAGAAGTCACCCTCTTCAAGAATATCTTGTTCACTAGGGTGATGATCAGTCCTCCGAGGGGTAGTTGCAGTGCCCCTGGAGCTGTAGGTCCATAGATTGCCTTGCAGTACAAAGAGCATCTCATCAATTGGGTCTCCCTCCCGAACAATGCGAGTCCGCTCATCATAGAAAGCTGGCCTCACACAATCACAAAGGTCATCCAAACTCGTATCATTCCAGGTTGCAAACTCGTCTACCTGGACATACATTAAAAAATAAGGATGAGAATATATCCAATATGCTCAGAATGGTCTAAGCAGAGTTCTTTAATTTGCAGAGTTATTTATAATATGGAGACAAAAGAATCTCACTTTCTTTAGTAGGTCTAAGCAGAGTTCACGCTTTATGTTGCTTTTGAGGTCCTTGGAAAGATAATTGAGCAAATTTTCTACATTTACACCTTTGATCACTTCCCAACTGTTCGGCGGGTGTTTCTCAATCCGCTGTTGGAGATTCATAGAGATCCTTCTGAAGGGCAGCTGTTAGAGTCATGAAAGTGACTCTATTTTGGTGATAAAAATACCCCATTTGTGATTAAATTGAAGTATATTGAGACAATTAAAGAATTTATGAATTTATTCATGAAAATCGCTTCCTAATATTTTTCTTATGAATTTAACGTGTTTGGAATGATTTTGGAAAATATATGAGTTGATATTAGGTTGTGGTTTATGGATTAAGGGTAATTTTGTCTCATTTATGCTGTTTAGGGGGTAAAATGTCATGTTTTAAGGGGCTGATTTTGTCACTTTTTAATTGTGTAGGGACTAAACTGAAATTTTACAATATGTGCTATAAAAGAAAAAAACGCAGATCGCACCAGGGGGCTGTTCATCTTCATTTTTCCGGTGACCCTTCACCTTCTCCGATCAAGCTCCGGCGACGAGTGGTCTCCTTTTCCGGCGACGATTCACCTCCCCCTTGCTCCGGTCACCATCATCCCTCCATCACCACCGTGAACCAAGCACCACCGCGGCGTTTCGTCTTCCACCGCGACTCTTCGTCTTCCCGGCCAGTTTTGGCCATTTTCCGGTGACGTTCCAGCTCCCCAAGGGTAGATCTCACTTCCCCACAGCCGGATCTACACTTCCCTAGCTTCAGCCGCCGCGAAAACCGCCGGAATCCGTGATTTAGCCGCCGCGACTCTTCATCTTCCAGGCCAGATCCTGCTCATTTCCGGCGACTTCTCACCTCCCCGGGACCTGATCTGAACTCCCCATCACCAGAGCTTTCCATCGGTACCTTCGGATCCCATTTCCGCCACCGTTTTCCGGAGACCCGCCGGAAAATTAACGTTTTCCGGCGAACCGCGGCTGTTCGTATTCCGGGCTGTCCGTTGGTCGTTTTCGCCCCTTTTTCGCACCATATCGCTGTCGGTTACCTCCTCTCCGCCATGGTCAGCTCCGTTTCCACCGTTTCGGCCTCCGTCATCACCACCATGAGCGGCTAAGCTCCCGGTTGTCTGTTACGGCATAGGCGAGATCGGGATTGACTCCACGACTCTCCTCATCAGCTCTCGACTAGTTGGATGAGCCCGATTATAGGACATTTGGTAGTATTGTGCTTCGGATTATATTTGTTTTCGTTTCATGATTGATTTCGATACTTTAATATGATTTGGGCATAATTTGTGATGAATATTGTTGTCCATTGTGATTTAATGTTTTCATAGAACTTGCTGAATGATAAACGTTGGTTTGGAATAATTAAATGATGAATATTGCTTACATTACTTCGCATCGATTGTAATTGAGTTGTGTTTGGATTTAATTTAATTTCTACTATTGTTGCGTTTATTGTGAAGTTGGTTGATTGGATATTACGTGTTGACAGATTGTATTTGTTAATCGCGTACCAACTAGTGGTATTGCCTTGTAGCGTTTATCGACGTTCAATGATAGTCTTTAACCAATCGAACTTGAGTGATCGGGTGAGACAGGATAGATTATACCTAGAGTGTCGGGAAACCATTTCATTGATTTACCTTGCCTTGTAGGTTTAGGGGATCGTAGAGGGTGGAGGAGAATTGTGTGAGTCGGTCTCGTGTCGAACCAAAACCGTAACGGCAACATTTTTATTATAAAGTTTTTATTAGTTTTAATTGCACTATTTCATTATTTGCATTTAGTCTATTTAGTTTCATTAATCCATTGCCAATTTCATTTTCGCTACTTAAAATACATCAGGTTGTTAGTCTTGCTCCCTGTGGATTCGATCCTGCTTACCGCTAACTACGGTACTTAGGTTTAATTTTTAGACTGTGACGATCGGTCTAACAGCAGCCACCGATTTATCTCTCGATTCTTCAATTTCATCTTGAATAATCCTCTCGCTCCGTGGTTGAAACAAATCTGTTTCACAGCAAGCACAGTTCCTAGAAATCAATTATGCATCATCTTAATTAAGGATATAAAAGTTGAGAAGTTTAAGGCAGACGTTATTATCGTTATCATATTATCATATGTCTAATATTCAATATTATACAACATTTTGATTCATATGAAAAATTAACCAATCAAATTAAGTTCTCAGTTAGATGAGAGGAAATAAATACATAAGTAACAATAATATTTTTGGATGAACGTATGAATGATTACATATACATGTTTCACCTAATTGGTTTTTTTTTATTTTTTATTTTTTGATCAAGTAAACAAAAAAATGTGTATATATAAGAATCCAATATTACATAAGTATGATACGACTATATATATATATATCTGTGTGTTTGTGTGTGTGCAAACCTGGATGTCCCAATAATATAGACAATAAATGCTACACCAAAGTATATATATACACACAAACCTGGAATATCTCAACAGTATGGACAAAAAATAATACACCAACGACAGTGATGAAAAGAACGAAAATGTTTTCCCCGATATCCACACTTGGTTGGAGGCCCTGACCAAAACCGCTGCAAATAATTGGATTTGTATACATTAATCCCATAAATTGACAAGCTATAGCTTGATATATCCTCAAAACCAAGAAAATTAAAAGGTGTATGGTATATACGTGGGAAGGAAAAGTCAACCATGCGAAGAATGTACCGTGGTATCCATGTGCTAATCTAATGAATAAATGTTATGTATTCATTTTTTCACAATTCTAAAAATTGTTATAATAAATAAAAGAGAAATTAATGTATATGTGACAAATTTATTGGTAAATTATACAAGTAACTTGATACAGATTATGTATTCTCGACTTTTTGAACAGGAGAAACAAGGAAGATGAGCATATATAGTATGTACTTGCAAACCTGAGATTTTGCAGGGCCCATCGGAGAGTATAAGCCTTCCTCTGTGCATGGTCGAATTTAACATCCACAATGCCAGATTGAAGAGCGTCATAGAATATTCCAAAATCATAGATTGTTTTATTTAGTGTCTTTGTCGAGCAAAAATCATTTAGAAATGTATGGTTTGCAAATCCATCATGACAGTAAAAAGAACCACATCCAGCATGATCTATGCAGGCTTTCTTCCAGCATTCAGTCAGTCGTTTTACGGCGAAAAAGTGCCACAAATATCCAATTACCTAAAAGACAAGCAGCTCTTACATATAAATATTATATATATGGAAAAAAAAACATTTTTAAGTTTTAAATTTTAAGCCAGGAACAAAAAAGGTAAAGGATTAAAAAAAAGAGGAAAGAAAAATATATAAATCTTTAAGATTTCTGAATTTCAAACTAACAATTCAATCCAATAAATTGGATAATTTAAATAACTAATATCTCAATGTGTCGATGATTAGAAGGCTTGCGCAAATTTTGGGGTACCAATGTCTATTTTTTACGGTTGATCACTCTGGGTTTTGTGGTCTTGGTGGTACTAGCAATGAGACATTGTCTTTTGGCTTTCTTTGCTTTTGTTCTTAACTCGGGGCATGTCCCTGATACGTTTACAAGTCCTAAAACACTTGTAAACATGAGTGGACAAGGAATTACAAGTCCTAAAACACTTGTTAATTCGGTTGAATCAAAGAATTGCATTCCAAGTCCTAAAACACTTGGATTGTGGAGTGTGGAAAGCATTGGAGGAGATTCGGCCCAAGCAAATCCCAAGGGGAGAGAGAGCCCAAGCACTTCGGCCCAAACCATTCCAAGCCCAAGCCCAACAAAGGAAGCTCAAGTCCACCAAGAGAAAAGCCCAAGTGTTGAAGTAAGCCCATTCGGCCCATTTCTCATTCCAAAGGGGAAAGTCCACTTGAACCCTTATTGGATCCAATTGCAAGATCTTCAAGGCCCAATCTCTTGCACCCTTATTAGTAGACTTGATTAGGATCATTGATCAAGTTTTGGGCTAATAAAGTGAGTTTTTTCAACTAATAGGGTGGTTAAAGACATGAACCCTAGAATTAGGGAATCATGTCCCTTTTTTGCATTAAATGGGTATGGCCTTAATTTGAATGGAAGGCTTGTAATTTTTGTGTAATATTTATTAATTTTCATTTTCTTGTAATGTATTTGTTACTCTTTTAACCTTGTAATTGCCTAATAAAGGCGACTATTCTCCTTGTAAAGTTAGTTCATGAAATTATCAAAAACTTGGTTTAACCATTGAGAGAACTTTTGTGTTCTTATTGAGATTCTTATCCAAGTCTTGGCAAGGAGATTTGATGGTGAATCGATTCAAGTTGGTGGAGAATTCTTTATGCTTGAGTGTTCATTCTTGTCTTAACCTAAAATTTGCAAGTAAGTGCCCATTGCTTCCATTGTGTTTGGCCGAATTTGAGCTTAAGTTTAGGGCATATTTTGTGTTGTTTGTTGTTGAAAATGGTTGGATTTGGATCATTTGGTATCGAGCTTAGGTTGTGAATTGGAGTAGGATTGATTTAGGATTGATGAAAGAAGGTGGCCGGATTTTGGAGTATACATTGCCGGATTTGGAGTTCTTTAGCCTAAGTTTTTCAAAACTTCTCTTTGTTACAGTGAAGTGAACAATTTTTCTCTCTCATCAACACTATTCCCAACCAAACCCCTTACACCTTGTTCCCTTGTAACCAAACCCATTGCCACCTCACCCACCCTAACCATTCCCTCCAGTCAACTAAACCCATTCCTTTACAACCAAACCTTAAACCCTTAACCCAAACCCTAACCCTAAACACAAACCTAACACCCTAAACACAATTAAATTAACCTAGTCTCATCTCCATAAACACCATTCCTTAGCCTAATCACAAAAACACTATTCACAAACACTATTCCAAGAACACTATTCACAGAATACTATTCACAGAACACTATTCACAGAATACTACACTTACCAAAATCACCAAAACTCATACACTTGACCTTTCCCTCCCATTTTCCATTTTTCTTTAACTTTCAAAACGTTACTGTTTCATCCGGAGTTACTGTTCACAGTAGCCTAAACTTTCAAAATTCTCATGGCAACAAGTCCCCTTCCTCCCCATACCACCCCCAACACCATGGGAGTGCCACAAAAGATTCAAGAAGAAC